CTCAACCCCTGCGCCACCAGGGAAGCCCTGATTTTGTGTAGTTTATATATATGTACATGTATGCATATATTTGGCTATATGAACACACACATGTAGGACAGAAAGAAGGGAAGAGAGAGAGAGAGAGAGAGAGAGCAAGAATGAATGAATAGCAGGCAAAAGACCCACATGTTAAATGCACTAATTTCTGGGCGATTCAACATAGTTTCTGTATTCTCCCATCTTTGTACAGTGTACATGTATTACTTTGATAGCAGTTTTAAAATGCACTGAGAACTACCTCTAGCTTGTGGAGCCTGTGAAGCTCAGCACCTTTTGCTCACGTGACTGGGGCAGATGGAATCAGATTCCTGCTGGCCCATGTCTCCATTTACTCAGATGCCAGATGGCAGAGGTAATTTAGAATTCACCCTTTCCGAATCCAGCCTTTGTACTGGTTTTAGAAGAGGAATAGACAATGTTATTGTAGGGTATATTCAAGCGGATCCAGGAACCGGAAACATCGTTTGGTAACAATTGTCAAATTCTTCATCTCTGTGAACACTGCATGGCCCCCATAAATTACTGTGCAAATTGCATCACGTGATGGTCAAATTCTTCTGAACTAACTGCAAGAAGTAAAGTAGAATCCCACCAGGGCTTGAACTGAACATGAACTATGGGGAGGAATGCCATTTTTGTTGTGAAAATAAAGGTACTAATTTGATAAGGAGATTAAGGGAGTGGATGGTGGGGAAGGGAGGTTTCCTTGTTAAAAATTTACCATTGTTAATGGAATTCATGAATCACTCCCATCTGTGATTTCTGGTTATAAAAATAGCAAAGCAAGAGGGAAAATTATGGAGGTCTAATAACTCTGGAATGTTACACTTTTTAAGGAATGGGATGTGAGTTTTTATACTTATCAAAGAGCAAAGGTTTATTGAAATATAAAGTTTAGTGTGTTTTCGTATACATATTTATGCAAGTGTTTACACCGATACCTAGGTCGGCACACACAAAGTATTTCTGGAATAAAGTGAACATGATGTAAAAGACATTTAACCTGCATACAAGGCAGCAACTTTCCTGCTTACCTGGTAGGTGTATTTTCATCATTCTGTAGTCAGGAAGCCGACGGCATGTTTGCTGATGTCCTAATTCTACTGGTCAACTGTCCAATCACATGTGCTCACTCTTCCTTAGCTGTCCTGGGATTCCAGGAGTCATATGACCTCAGAAGTGATGCCCATTCCTTCTGGAAATTCAGGAAAGGAAGGACTAATTTACTGGAGGCTATAAGTATAGTAAAAATGTCAGATAAGAAAAAAATTTAAGTAAGTAAAAAATGTGTATTTTTTTTCAGCACATTTGAGCACCTGCTCTGATCCAGCCTCTGTTCTGCACTCTGCAGTTAGAAACATGGTTAATACTCAGCCCCTGCCCTCGAGGAGTTCAGTGTTGGTCAAGCAGGAGGGAACTTCCAAATAGGACAATTCAATATTCGTACTTTTGCAAGTGCTTAGAGCAGTGACTGGCACAAAGTATTCTTGTAGCCTGTGAATTGTGCCCTACAGTGTTGGGAGCATGGCAGTCATTAGTGCTATTTACAGTTAACCTCATTCTCCTGAGCAGGTAGGGTTACATTTCTCTCCTCCGTTTAAATTGGAAGACGTGTGACTTGTCTTGCCTTGGTGGTCATGAAAGCTGGGCCTTCAACTAGGTTCCTGAGTGCTTAAAATGACAGTCCCACGATTGTCCACACTGGACATGTGACATGAGCAAAATACAAGCCTTTGTTGTGTTAAGCCACTGGGATTTGGGGGCTGTTTGTTACTGCAGCTGGCCCAGTCCTGTTGACTAATACACGTGGGCTGGCACTAAGACTAATGACATGTGGGCTGGCAGTTGGAGAGTTTGACTAAGTGCAGAAGAACAGGGAAAGTGGGAACAGTGATAGTAGAGGCCCAAAGATATAAAGCTATATTCCTTTCCCTTGACTGTTCCTCTCTGGTGCCCTTGTCTGTTCAGTGAAGTTCTCTGCACCTCTTCCCAGACCATTGGTAAAACATGGTGTATTGACCACAACCATCTGTCTCTTCTCCTCTCCAAACTATACAGAAATGTCAGTAAAGGAAAAGCAAAAGTATGACTCTGCCACTAAAAACAGCAGAGGACAGGAAACCTCAACAGACCATTTTAGATGAAAAGAAGCAGATGGAAGAGACACCACCTAAGGGAACTCAGAGGGAAGAATGCCCAGTAGCACCCAGTTCACCCACCAGAGCCTCTGAAGGGCTCAGCCCCCAGGCAGTGGTGGAGGTGGGGAGATACAGGATGGAAATTGGGGTGTGGGGGGGAGAGACAGCAGATGATGGAGGGGAAATCCCCAATCCCCTCATGTACGGAGCACAGACCTGCACCTACTTCCTCCAGGAAGAAGATGGAGAAGCCCTGGTCTGGGTAGCAGCAAACACACAGGGAGTCTTAGGTGAGAGTCAGAATTTAAATGAAAATCTTGGGACTTTCCTGGTGGCGCAGTTGTTAAAAATCTGCCTGCCAATGCAGGGGACATGGGTTTGAGCTCTGGTCCGTGAAGATCTCACATGCCACAGAGCAACTAAGCCTGTGTGCCATAACTACTGAGCCTGCACTCTAGAGCCCGTGAGCCACAACTACTGAGCCCATGCCACAACTACTGAAACCCACGTGCCTAGAGCCCATGCCCTGCAACAAGAGAAGCCACCGCAATGAGAAGCTCGCACACTGCAACGAAGAGTAGCCCCTGCTTGCCACAACTAGAGAAAGACCATGCACAGCAACAAAGACCCAACGCAGCCAAAAATAAATAAATTAATTAATTAATTAAAAAATAGACAATGGTAATAAAAGATGATAACCTTAACAAAAAGAATTTAAATGAAAATCTTAATACTTAACAGCGAGATCCCCAGTTCTCTTCACCAGTGTGGCCTCCAAAATGTTGGCAGCCAGGTATAAGCACCCAAAAGAAAGACCTCTGGATACTGGCATTGGGGAATCCCAAATAAAAGCCATCAACTTGCTTCTTTCAGCCCACAGGGAATCCCATCTGTCAACTAACTCACTCCTGCATGAGGATTTTCGAGTAGTTTGTCACTGTCCCACATTAAATATGAATGATGAACAAGGACAGCAATATTTGAGGGATGCCTCCAACTTGGAAACATGAAAGGCAATCCAACAAAGACATGAACAAAAGGAGGCTGGAGGAAACAGTTCAGGGACCAGAAGAAAATGTCCAAACAAATGAATGAAAAACATTTTTGAGATTTAACAGAGATATTGCGTTCATAATATCAATAAAAGAACAGATTGTTTTTAGAAAATGAAAGAAGCAGAGAGATGAAAGAGCTCTGGGAAATTAAAAACTTGAGCCAAAACTAAAAAAATCAAATTAGATGATGGAGTTTGACTCTCTGATAAAGAGAATGTAAAGACCAAGAGATAGAAAATATTAGAAGAATAATAAGGCATGGTTTATTAATCTAGGAATTCCAAAATTTTACCAGTAAGAGTTTCAGATGGAACAGAGTAAGCAGTGCGTTTATCAAAGAAACAACATAAGAAAAACCCACAGATTTTTAAGAAATAAGTTTTCAGATTGAAGGAACATAATCATTTTTAAAATGACCCAAAGCAAAGTACAACATCACAAGATGCTGATACACCAGAGAAAAAGAATCTGAAAGCTTCTTGAATCTAGACAGAAAGACAGGTGGCCTAAAAAGAGATTACAACCGATGACTTCAGATCTTTCAATAACACCAAATGTGTGAAGACAGTGAAACACTGCCTTCAAATTTCTGAGGGAAAATGATTTTCAGTACAAAATTCTATGCCTGGTCACACTATCAAATATGCAGATGGAATAAAGTCATTTTCAGAGAAACAAGAGTTCAAGCATTAGTTTCACATTCATCTTTTCTTAGTAAGTTACAGAAGAATGGGCTCCAGCACAATGAGGGAGTAAACAAAAAAAGAATAAATGAGATCCAGGAAACAGGTGATCCTAGACAAGTGTGGAATGTCAGAGACCTAGCAGGGTGAGGAGGACATCCTTGGATGGGGCAACCCAGTGCCAGGAGGTAAAACCCTCGTTAGAAGGAGGCTATGCTTGGGGTGGCCCAGTGGACATGTCAGGGTCCAAGTAGGGACAAGAAGACAGCCACACAAAGGAGCAGCTTGGATGGTGGGGTCAGAGTCCAAGTGTGGTGAAGAGGGGGAGTGTCAAAATGGGAAGTCAGGCACAACTAAGGAAAGGAATCCACCTGTAAGGAAGAGGGTCTTGGTGGAGCCAGGAGGTTGGTTACACAAAGGGGGTCCTTTCAAAAAATACGTAAGTGTATTAGGATCATGGAAGTCAGGTTCCCAACTATCAGAGAAAGGAGTTACAACACAGAAAAAGAGAAAACTACAAAGACCTCTGTTTATTGGATTGGAATTGGAGGTTTTGGATACTGTTGTAAATGGGAAGTTTTCAATATACAGATGTATATATGATAGATTATTAGATCTATTGATAGATAGGTAGATAGATAGAATCCCCTAACACTATCTGCTTGGAAAGCCTGAGCACAGTGGTGACTACCACCAAGATTTTGGTTTCTAAACATCATTCTTCACTAAAAGGAACTAGGAGAAATGGCTGATTCTAAGGCTGGGGAAGGAAACATACAAGGTGAGCCTGGGATGACTTGTAACAGAATGCAAAGAAGTACTCAAAGAAGGATGAGGATGTGACAAAAGCTGGACAGAAATGAACTTGAATGGTCTCCTATTGGCCAATCTAAGCATCAAAATAAATGATAGTAATGGATTATAAACCATTGAATTGAATTAAATTAAATACGAAACCGTGAGTCCACACAGAGGTAAAAAAGTAATTTTAAAATGAAAAGTTTAATGAGAAATAGGATATTTACATAATTTCAAGTACTTACAGATTCCACAAGAGAAAGAGGAACTTGATCATGGAGAAGACTGGCCGACATCATCTTAACCGAGATTACAGTGAACGCCATCAGGAATGGGACACACAGAAACCATGTGTCACCTGAGAGGAGGCATAGTTCCTGGGGTATTCCCATCCAAGGTTCAGAATCTGAAACATCAGACAAGTGCAAAGAGAATGATATTCTGCAAAATAACAGGTCCACAGTCTTAAAAAATGTGGTCCTAAAAGTCAAGAAAAGACTAAGGACCTACTTCAGATTGAAGGAGACTCAGAGATGTGATGATTCGATGCAATGAGTGATCGGCTCCTTTCCCAGTGAAGGACGTTAATGGGACCACTGGCCATACGTGCGTGGGGTCTGAGCACTGGACGGTAGCAAGGCAAGAGCATTGACTTCCTGATGGTGATGTGGCTGCATTGGGGGTTCATGCCAGAGCGTCCTCACTTGTGGGACTCACACACTAAAGAGTTCTGGATGGATGAGACATCAGTTTGGCAACTTCTCAGATGGATCAGAAGGAAAACAATTTATTTGTACTGTATCACCAACGTTTCTCTAAGTTTATGGCTGCTGAAAAAAAATCTTTCAAAAACTGACCTCTTCTTCTCAATCAGGCTTTCAAAATGGAACCAACTTTTACTCCTTTGACTATTTCTTCTGGTAGTTACATATTTCTCAAAAATATGTTTTTACTGCGATTGGGGGGTAATGTTTTCATTAGCTGAATGGTTTTGTTTCCAACTTTTCGTTGATTAGGGAAGATTTGCATGGATGCTATCTGTCCTTTTTTGTTCACTTTATATTAGAATATTCCAGAACCAACAACAATAGATGTTTCCACTGAGGGCTGTTTATTCCTTAGATCCTCCATTTCTACCACTTGCATTTTTATTTTCCCTTCACCAATAACCCTCCAAGAAGTGCTTCCTCCTTGTAAGAAGACTTCCTCTCCCCTGGAAGCAGTACCTGCCCAAGGCTGCCCTGAGCACACTCAACCCCTTTGCTTTTGATTCTCCAGTGACCAGCACTGCTACCTGACAGGTTCGGACCTGTCCTCAGAACCCCACCAAGGATGGGAGACTCTTTCAGGGATCAATCTTCACCAGGTTTGCGCTGCATCCTCTTATCTATGCTCAGTATTCACACAACTCCCTGCTCTCGCATAAGTTTCCAGAGCTGATCTTGTTACCCTAGGAAGTTTATGTTTCTACTTTCCTGTATACTAAAGTCTGCAGTATTCTCTGGTCTCCAGGTTACACTGTAGGTGTTGGTTATACATACGTTTATCTACTATCCTTATTGATCAGTGTGGTTTTGGGAGAATGTGAAATTTGAGTTTCGGTGGTCACATCAAGGTCCAGAAAAAAGCATGAGATGTCTTTATGTTTGTGGGGTAGGTAAAGACTAATCAAGGAGGAGAATGGCTAAAATGAACAGATGGAAAATACCAAGTGTTGGCAAGGACACGGAACAGCCAGTACTCTCTCACACACTGCCAGAGGGAGCAGAATGGACACAACCACTTTGGAAAACTGTTTGGCCACTTCTACTAAAGCTAAGCATAGGCACACTATGTGATGCAAAAATCATTTCCATTCCTAGTTCCACATCCAACAAAATGTGAACACATACATGAAAAGACATATGCAAAAAAAAAAAAAAAAAAAAAGGAAAGAAAAGACATATGCAAGTATGATTCTACATCAACTAGAAACCCAAATGTCCACCATGGGCAGCATAGATAAATATATTTCAATACACACACACACACACACACACACACAAACACGCACACAATGAGATGCTACAGAGCAGAGAAAAGAATGTCACAAACATAATATTGAGTGAAAGACAGTCAGTCATAAAAAGAATACTGTAGGTTCCATTTACATAAAGTTTAAAATAGGCAAAGCAAAGCAGTGGTGGCCTCCTCTGGGGGAGAAAGAGAGCAGTGACTGAGAAGGGGCATGAGAGGGGTGTCTGGGAGGCTGGTTGGTTCTATTTCTGGGTCTGGGGGATGGGTAAGTGTGTTCTCACTTTGTGAAAATTCGTCAAGTGCTACACTTTTGCTTTGCTTTCTTTACTGGATGAGTTTTATACTGTAATGAAGAAGTTTATTAAAAGCAATCCTTCAAAATAATTTTCAACTTGGCATAAAAAAATTATTCTAATTAACCATGATCTAGAACCATTGGTAGATTGCCTTTTGCTTTTCATTAGACCTATGAATGTAGCTCCCAAACAGATGACCTCATTGGTACCTCCCAACAGACCTGTGTTTTAGGTAATGATGCACAACCACTCAAGATGGCCTTGAATGGATTCATGGAGAGGGGAGAGCTTATTCAGTCAGGGAGGGAAGGATGAGCAAGGAGCTCAGACCTACAATTCAGGGCTTGCAGCCCAAGGTCCTCTCGCTGGCTCTGAGGACTTGACAAAACATCTAATATTTATGAATCCCAATCTACAAAATACAGTTGCCATGCACCACACTGAATTGTGCAGGGACCACATGACCTAGTGTGCATGACGGTGCTTCAGAAACCACAGATACGTACACACCTGGGCTTGTGCAAACACAGTCTCCAAAGAGGTTGTTCTTGTGATCTCTGCTTTTGTCTCTTCCGAACACAGTTCACGAGATGGAATTGGGAGCCCCAGGGAAGGAGGTGGGCTCAGGAAGCAGGAGGTGGTCCTGAATTCGTTGCTATGGTGACATTTAAATCCTCCCATCAGCTATTTTCTACCAGTTGTGCAAATTCAGGGTCCTGTTTATTTCCCAAATATATAATGTAGAATTCTTAGGTTTTTTTCAGATAGAGAAAATGAGGCAAGTACTTAGTACTCCACAAGCTCTCAGGGTACAGGGCTGCATGGATAACTTACAGGTGTATCTGTCAATGTTTAGAGATGTAGATTCTTCTCGTCTCCTTAGACACATTCCAAATTGTATGCCGAGGAAAGTGTGAAAGGCCAGTGTGAGCCCCTTCCATACCACACGCCTGGAAAACTCCCATGAGAGTCCACATGCCCTCTGGGCTTCATCCATCTTCCTGCAGATTTTATACTAGCGACCAGCACATACATGTGATCTTACGTCTGGCTTTTATCTAAAACACTGTATTAGTTATCATTCTATTATGGTCCCACAGAGTCATAATGATTCTAATTGTACTGTGAGAACAATGACATAAAAACTTAAAAGAATTTTTGAAGATACAAATAAATACAAATAAATCACCCAAGGCCATGTTTGAGCGTCTCACTTCCAAAAACCTCCAGGACCTTCACTTTGCTCTGGAATAAGACCAGACTCAAGGGCTGTCTCCAGATACATCCTGACCTGCAATCCATCCCTTTGTCTCAGCCAGGAACATGTGTTTTTCTTTTGGCTCAGAGAAGCCACCAGCCTCCCCTACCATACCCCGGCACATGCTTCAGACTCAGTCCCAACACCACTGCCCCTAGGGGACCACCCTTGACTCCCCCACCCAGACAGAGACAGGGACCACGGGGACCGTGTGGGTTCTCACAGAAGCCTGGGCTCTCCTTCCCATATCACCAGGAGTAATTGTACAGTGACGTGTGGAGTTATCAGCTTGACGTTTCCTCCACCAGTAGGTCACAGACCACCTGACTTGGGTCTCGAGCATCTTGCCTGATTCTGGTAGACATTCAGTACAAGTTTGTTGAATGGAGAATCAGCTTGTTACCCCAACATGAGAATATTTTTATTGTATATATGTGTTTACTTCTCATCTTTGCATGCATATTTAATTGTTACAAATCTGCTATAGGGTCAGGCTTCATTAGATGGCCGCTTTCATGCTCTCTGTACATCCCCTGCCTGACCCGGCCCTGACTCACTCTTACCTTATGTGCATGATTGCCTCCCCCTCCCCCAACCTAGGTGGGAAATTTAAGCAGTAACCATCTGCATGATTGGCCTGAGCCCACCATGATTGCTCTTGCCCTTGGACCAGAACTGCTCCAGTATGTTAGGTTATCAACAGTGGCCCTTGCCCCACTCCCCCTGGCAACCGAGGAGCCCTTGTGACGTCACGCACACAGCCTCTTCCTCCTCTGTGTCGCCGAGGTTGCTGCTGCATCCTGCCTGCCATTGGTCATAGGCAGACGGGTGTCACTCCAGGACCTTTGCCTCTGACTTGCAAGATTCCCTGTCCAATAAATCATTGACGTCCCTGTCACTGACTCTGGGTTCTACCTTTGGTCTAGCGGCTGGGCAATTACAAGTCTTGCAGGCTTGCGTGGTGCAGCCCAACGCCTGCAATTAGCATAGTTATCATTTTATGTTAAAGTATCTTTTTGAAATAAAACCCCCCAAGAACGAATCTAGGTTATCATCGAATATCACCCCGTCAATGGGTGGAAGTTTTGATGAGGTCAAGCTCTTGCCAGATCACGAGGAACACGGTTGAGAGAAGAGAGAGAGCTGCCAAAGGAGAAAGAGGGGGCGCCACAGACCCCTGGCTGGGCTCCCAGCCTATCACGCTCGGCCTGCTCATCCTGCAGCCTGAGCTCCAGGGCATCGGGGCTTCATTCTCGGACCCGATGGTACTGAACATCGCAGAGGCTGCTGGCACGGTGTCTGCCGAGGAACTGACTTCACTCAACTTCAAACAAAGCGAAAGCCACAATATTTATTTAGTCGAATGTGATCACAAATTATAAACTGCACATCTTTCTCACATCAAAACTGCTCACCTCACAACCATTTGGAGAGCCTGCATTTGAGGGTGGACTTCTTCATGGATAAGTTGGTGTAGAAGACAAGCAGTGTGTGGGCATTTTATAAACCTGGAAGATGTGAATTTTCAGATCTTCTGTATAGAATCTGGGGTTATTATCCCCCTTTGGAAGGTGAGCAAGCCCCACGTTTGAACCAGCCTTCTTTGGGGGCCTCTCTGCCTCTCCCAACCCTTCTCCCCTCCTTCCCCCCAGCCCCCTTCTCACTTTTTCTCTGCTCTTCTCCCCTCTCCCCCAGCCCCACTCTCTTATGAAGACCAGATAGAGATGCTCATGAGAACGGCCATCAGTGTTGATCTGTTTGTCATCTGTCATCAGTGACTTTGGACCGACATGGAAGCCCCAGGGAACCACCGCAGGGGCCCTAGTGAAGCGTGTGTGGTCTCCCCAATAAACTCGAAAACAAAAGAGAAATGCCTTGACATACTCAAGGGTGTGTTTGAAACAGAAGCTGACGTTGATCCGAGCATGTCTAGGAGAAAATCTATTTGGGAGACTTGCGGTGAATAAGCCCTCTGTTCAGGCTTTCATAACTGTGTGTTTTTGCTCTCTGACACTCTGGTTTCAAATTTTTCTCCAT